AAACCTAAACTTAAAGCATATGTATAATCGAACCGTATGTCTGGTATGATCACATAACCAGCTGAAAAAAACGTGGAAACAAGGCCAATACCCATGCATTAATGTGCCTAAGCAGAAACAGGATACAATGTACAAGAGTCGGTATATGTCCTGCAGGTCCCAGTACAGCATGGACGCGGTGGTATTTTACAGGCTCGTGTATAGATATGAACATAGCGGTGGTCCGTGGAGCTGTATGACGGGTACTACGGTTCGCAGAGGAGGAGAGAGCAAGCACTCTCGGAAGCCGGGGTACATAGGAACATGGTGATAATCAAGACTTGAGACGATCCTTACTGCTGGATTTCTGTTGAACTTGCGGCATCTTCTCGAGTATAATGGCTAAGTACGTTCATTGCACATAAAGGGTGTTTCAAATGCATGGCTGAGCCAGCTGTAGCTTTGCTACATGTAACTGCGTGCTTAGAGAATATTTGGTTGTCTTGTACAGTTGGCTACTTTAGTGCCTTGAGGTTTTTTTATGTTGGTGAATCCGACTGGAGCAAAGATCTGAGTAAAGCCCTACGGCTCAGCTGGGTGGTAACTGGCGATTCTCGTCACCACGCCGCCGTGCACTGGGAACTACCTTCCAAGGTTCAGATAGCCATGAGATTCAACCTCTTGAGGTAGTAGCCGGCCGTTCCAATGACCGGTCCACGCCCTTTTCATAGACGCTCTTGGCTGGCACGAAACCGCTAAGGTCTCTCGCCATGGCCAGCGGCAGATCCTGCTTCCTTGTCTGCGTGTCTCCGAACCGATGAGTTTATCTATTATACTACTTCCTAGGTCCTGTTTCGTACTATCTGGGCGTGCATGAAGTGTAGGCCCAGATTGCGCTAGTTTATTTTCCTCCTCTCGTCTAAGATCGGTTGTTTGGCAATGGTAGGGTCTTGTCAAATATGCTATTTTCAGGAGGCACTGGAGGGGGCTTAATTTTTATTTTTGATCAAGGGGACTGCTCAGCTACATGCAGACTTTATCAGGACAGTATATTCTGCTTGGTTTGTTGGGCACTCATGTTAGAGGATATGGTGTCCTGCTTGAAACGCCCAGGCATCGTTTTCTAGCAGCCCAAAGATATATTTCCGCAAGTGTGGAATTGGCATAGCACGATATGTGCATAGACGGTAATTTGCTAGGTAGACCAAGTCCAAGGAGGCTGAAGATAAGCATCTATTCATCCATTTATTTTGTATAATTCACTGAATAGCAGAACCACCCGACCAGACATGCTGTATACTGGTCTGTGTAGCTGTTACAGCCAACCCCCGGCGAAATTAAGCTTTCAAGATACCACAGGCTTATATAGGCATTCTATGAAACAGATTCCAACACATCCAGCATGTTAGCTCAGGGGAAGAGCGCCGGGCTCATAACCCGGAGGTCCCTGGATCGAAACCAGGACATGCTATTATTCTATTTACTTTTTTTTCCATATTTTATTCTTCCATCCTTCCTTGTCCTTCATGCACCGGGGATCTAGAAAGTTCATCAATTCAGCATGTTAGCTCAGGGGAAGAGCGCCGGGCTCATAACCCGGAGGTCCCTGGATCGAAACCAGGACATGCTATGTTATTCTTTTACTTTTTTGCCCTTATTTCTTTGCGCCGGCAGCACAAAGCGGGGCCCTATGTTTTTGCAAGCGTGTGAAGCATTCGGCGAGAATTCCCTTTGTGTTGAACTGAGCCTTGGGTCTAACCACTATTATACGTTGTAGGACTGCCCCTTGAAGCATGCTTCTGTCCCCTGTAATTTTTTTTTCTGCGGCATACTTCCTCAAGGTCTTCGAGGTTCATGAATTATGACTCATGAGTCATTGTCTAATCATTACCAATGATCTCAGATCGTGCAGGACCCCACTTTCGTCAGATTAGGGCTTTGCCGGGCCTTTACCTAGGTAGGTTTAGCCGACTGCCAAGCCTCTAATTATAGTGGGGCTCAATTTAAACTAGTTTGTTCATGGAACAGTGCACCAAGCTCAGCTTCTGGGGGTGACTACATGGATCGATATCGACGGGGTAAGGTAGTTGTCCAAATCGTCCAAGTGACTGCCCAGTCGCTTAATGGTCACTGATGTATAGCTATTTGCATATAAAGTCTTGAACAGCTAAAGACGTTGTACAAGCTACATTATGGAGAAGTCTATCTTTTTATACTAGTGTAGAGGGTCCATTTTGCATTAACTTCCGTCTTACAACCGGCTCAGACCTGACTTGATCAACAGTCCTTTTCTGTTGTATGTCTTCGAAGCCGATACTGACATATCCCTTCGTCGCTGGATTAATTGGGAACAGGAAGCCAGAGATTGTGTGAGGAGTTTCAAGCTCAGTATAATGGTTCACGAGAGTAGAAGTTGAGCCTACCAATGACCCTGCACTGTAAAATGACAAGGATGAGGCACAATACTGCTAGTATTCCAGGCGTAATGCCATGGATGTGAGAATTATCCGACAGGTTCCATCAGCCGGCGTAACATGCCCTATACTAATATAAGGTAGTAGGTAGTACCTTCCTGTCTCACGGCCATGACGCTTGCTATTTTGCATTATACACTACATAGCTCTATTCCATACCACGGTATAGTCACTGCCACAACAAATCAAGATGCAGAGATACGCCCAATAATTATATGGCTCCCCTAATCAGACTGAGTGCCCTGGGCAATTATCAGTCAGCATCTCGACCTGGTCAGCCATGGCTTCTTCCACGATACGAGAAGAGCTACAGTCCCTAAATTTAGAAGTACAGTATCCTGGTGCAAATCTCGCCCTGATGCGTATATTGAGAGGTTGGATAAGCTTTGCGCGGGCAGGTGCTCCATGTATTGATTCCCGTTATGGAAGGGGCATCGAATATTACCGGATTTGGAATCCACGACTGCCCGTTGAGGTGACAAGTCTCTTGCTTGCTGCCCCTTTGATTCCCTCACCGGCATTGTATTCAACACTTAAAGAGTAATACTGACTGTCCTGTAGCCGGGCTGGCCATATCCATCTTCTGTTGTCTTATTCTCCCGCAACTTAGATCATACACGCTGCAAAGCCGCCATAAGTAGCATACAGACGCCTCCTATGGGTGGTAACAAAGTGTCTGAGGACGCAGCGGGCCGGCCAGAGTCGAACGCAGTCTCACACTTTTCAAGGAAACATATCCGGTTAGGGCAGCCATGCAGTTGGACAAACAGTAGACTTATGACATCTTGAACAGGAACATAAGACCCTTGCACTACTGGCCCTCAGACAGCATATTATGATGATTGTTTAGATTATAATCGAGGGTCCGTGATAAGAATATGCTTGATTATTCGTGTTCGCAGTGATCTAACGGAATGTTTCATGTCATATTGGGGTAGACGATGACTCTGGAACAGTTCGTTCAATCTCGGGTCCATTTCCGTGTAGTATATGACATTTTCTTGGCTCAAAACTGGGAATAGAGGGCAAGCGCGTAAGTACTTAGTATGTACTATGGCCTTGCCCCTTGCATTCGACACTCGTCCTTATCTAACTTGAAAGGATACAGGAAGTAAAGAAAGGATCTGACTACTTAGATACAAAGATATAACGAGGTACTCCTTACCAGCCGGCATGCTCACTAAGTGAGAAGCTGAAAGGGGAGATCTAATTCTTTGCACTATAGCTGGCACTGAATAAGTAACGCACCGGAAGCAGCGGCACTACCTAGGTGGTACCTAATCTTCCACTACAGAAAATCGACATGTAAGTGCCCCTGGCTCCCGTCGACGTCACATCATACAATTCGACTTTCAGCTCCTCGCTTGCCTTAACTCTCTTCTTTCCGCAATAGGACTACGACGTCCCGCGATTCAAATCGGAATTCCCATGCTATAGTTCTTCATGTTACCGAATGCTCATCCAACGAAAATAACCAGAACAGCGGTTTTTCCTATCAGACGGCTTCCTACTCCTACTCGGTTGGCTCGAATAACTAGGTATCCAGAACAGGCTCTCCAGCTGCCGTATCCTCACACCGTCTGTGGACGAAAAACGGTTGAGAATACGGAAAACCAGCCCAGACAACGCTGACACTATTAACTAGCTGAACATACTTTAGCTTGGATTATGCCCCGGCCCGAACGTACAGTTGCCCAGACTGACGACACCGTTTTTCAGTATGAGGATAGCAAGGATTGGTTCAGTGACACACTACTATTGGCTCCGTTGTGCGCAATACTTGATCATTTGGTACGGAATCATGGGTGTCTCTCCTAGAATTGGCCTTATAGGTTCGACTTATCGGCCCCATTTTTTGCCTTTCTCGCCTTGAGCATGGATGTATATCGTTTCTTTCAGACTGCGTGCGCTTGGATCACCGACACCGACTTACGGGGCTTGACGTGGAATTGAACGGTTGTGCGCAGAGTGATATTCCGAGGGTGCTCTTCCAGGCTAGACACTATATTGGCCGTGATCTTCCATTGATTGCAGTATAGAACGGCATACAACGCACTTCTAGTGTATACTGAACAAAGTGGCTCCGCCAGGGCATTTCTATGAAGCATATAGATCTAGTACAGCAGGCCTACCTCGATCGATTTGTTGTCCATGGCCATGTCTGAGCTACGCTGTCTGTGCCACACACGCCACCACTCCTCTCACCCGGCATTTGATGCACCCTTCTCGTATTGCTGGACGATCCCAGGGGTAAAGGTCAGTAGACTGCAGTTTATAGGCTAAAAAAAAAAAATAGACTGGATGACTCCAGTGAATACGCTGACCAGTGCCGGGCTCGATCCGGCGACCTTATCGGTGTTAACGATACGTGATAAACCAACTACACTAACCGGCCAACTGTTGAAGACTTTATGGGGGCATATGGGTATTCAATGTGGCAAATGGTGCCCTAAAAAGTCAAGAGTGGAGCACAAAATGGATCATGGAAATTACTCTATATGTAAGCCTGGTCATAATTTCAAAACTTTGATTGCCTGTCATCAAATTGGCCGGTTAGTGTAGTTGGTTTATCACGTATCGTTAACACCGATAAGGTCGCCGGATCGAGCCCGGCACTGGTCAGTTCTTTTTTAATATTTTTTTTTCCTGCAGTGTATACCCGTGAGTAGCCCAAGAAAGTTTGACGTGGGTGGGCACACCATTTATTAAAAGGTTTACCTACTCCCCTAGTTTTCGTTATGCCAATTTATGACAGCTGCCACTGTTTTGCCTCGTCGAATGTGATTCTGCCCTGTCATACCCGTCATAAGACAGCTTGCTTGTACTTCTAAGTCCTCTCTTGACCAGATCCAGCCTGGCTTTAGAGGCCACATGGTAGCCAAATGTGGTGAATATTTGGTTCATATTATTAAAAATTTTCTCAAGCCTAACGGAGCACAGCCTTCGCCATGCAACAGTCAGGATTGGCCGGTTTCATATATGTTTTCTCGCATGATTAAATATACGTTTGCCTGTCATCGGATACTACCACAACTCATGCAGAAGGCACTACAAGTACAGACAACTAGCAACAGGGAATAACAATTGGCTGTCACATTCTGTGCCAGCAGGTCTAGTATCAACACTGCGGCCTGCTATTTAGCTGCTCTACCAAATCCAAACATGGACGACACGCATGCTTGCCGCTTAGATTACATCTCCAGTGGTATCGGGTTCATACCTGAACGTCGGCTATGATATATCAGTGGTGATGGAGAAGCCAATATAGTTTAGTCGCATTTGCTTGCAGGGTTTGTCTATCATGTCAGGTTGTCCTCAAGTAGTTCTGCCTTCAGGTAGGAAGAGGAACATAAACCAGCGCAATTGAGCTCATGTTTCACTCAGAACACAAAACAAGCAAACAAACAAGGGCGAGAAAAATATTTGCGGTATAACATGGAAGTAAATGCACCATTTGCTGTCAGAAAACCATAGTGCCGCACGATAGGTCTCTCCAACACAATGTCAACTGACAGCGAGAACAGTTCACTCGTGCGTACATACCGTCTATTTGGCAATCTCTGGTTGGAAAACCCAGAAGAACATCTCGACTTGGAGGACTTGGCCAGGTTAAAGAGACTAGAGCCACTCATCCGTCAGCTGGAGCATACTCCAAAAAGCAACTGCCGTAAGTTCTCACCCCATTCAGCCTCCGGGAGACATGCCCCATGTCGCATAATGAAGCCTAACCTCCAGCTGCTTCTCCAGGCACTCAGTCCGAAATGGACAGGGAGTTTGCAGAGTTCACCGAGCGCGAAATCGCTGCTTGGAAACACCTAGGAGCTGATCGCCCTCGAGAATTCCTACTCCATCCAAGTGGTGATCTCAAATCCGCTCTCGCATGCCACTTGCACAACCCTACATTTTACGTCAAGGATCCGTATTGCCGAGATATGGAGAACATGTCCAGCCCAACCATGCAGCAGCTCAATCAGGCTGGATTTTCTTCCAGGAATTGTTTCTTTTTCGATCACATCTGCCGACGTGACCGTACCGATGATGTCCTCTTGTTCTACACCGAAGATATTATCAGGGTTCATGAGGTATTCGTGCTTTCTATCCGGAAGGCAATGGCTGCAAAAGTCGAAATTTGCTGGGGAAAGCATGTACGAGAAAGAATGAAACGGCTACTAAAACTCACCTCTCTCAAGCTCTGGGGGGAATTCAAAGACGTGGAGCTGTTTCTGGAGATGGAAGACCAGATCATTAGACGATTCGTCCTTTTCGTGGCCCACCCGCAATTTTTCTTCTATCACGGGAGCTTCACCGAAAGCGGGTTGAAGTTCAGGGAGACGCAGGCAAGGAGACAGGATCTCTATCTGGCCGTGGCGAGTAAGCTCAGCGCTGTACCTTTGACCGAGAGCTTCTATGAGAAGGCCCATCGGCCAGCACTTTATGGACAATTTGATAAGGTTAGTAGAAGCCTAGTGATGCAGCTAGAAACCGATGCCGATGCTCAACTGAGTGCTGCCTTCACCGCGAGATATGAAGAGGTCGAGTCTTCTTCCAGGATGATTCTCGAGACACTAAAAACCGAGAAGCAAAATATCAACGATGTGCGGCTCCGCCTGCCTGTTATATCAAAAAGAATACAAGGAGATTCTCAGGAAGAGGTAAGTGCTTCATGGCCGACAACTTTTCATGTGATTTGATGTACTCTGCTCATGCCCACCACAGCTATTAAGGCGCCGCAAGCAGTTCCTTAGTATGGGCGAGACGCTCACTGAGACACTTGGAAAGTGTTTCGGCGGTGCAGTATCCCTCCGTAGCGTGACGCAAGCGAATTGGATGTCGATGCTAGTATCCGAGTGGGATGAGATTTCAGAGTGGGCTCAAGTACCTGGTTTACTTGCTTCCTGGATCCAAAACCAAGCAGGACTAAAAATCGACCAAAAGCCGATCTCGTCCAACGAAGAGTTGTTCGCAGCCTATCGATTTCTGTCACCTGCCGAAAGCAACCCAGCAGATATAACACTGATGCAAGCCGTTCTCAGAGTAGCAGTCTTGTATATCGCAAGGGTGAAGAAGCAGAGGCACTCCAGCGTTCAAGACCTCATAATCCCTGGCTCTCGACCGTATAATATCATGCGACGAAAGTGTGCAAAATGTGGCAAGCGGGTGCTGGATGACGCATTTGCCTGTTTTGCTAAAGCTGACGCGAGGAAATATGTCATATGGTACCGCATGTATGGCTGTGGTGCTGAGGATTGTTGCCCAGCCGGTAAAGGGTTTGCCAATCTTGTTCCCCTGGACGCTCACCAAAGCTACCGAATGGCGACCCGCCAAGCTCTCCAATGCTTACGAACGGCTGGATGGGAGGAGTTTCTGCTTCGCTGCTCACCAGAAGAGACCCTAGAAGTCCGACAGAAAGTCGTAACGATTTGCAAAATTTGCAGGGTGCAGTCGTTTACAGATACCAAGCCGCGCTGGACGTCGGAATATCCGAGCAGATACGTGACGCCCGTCCGGAATTGTAAGAACTGCAGCAAGAGATATTGTACTTTCGTCCCAATCGATGCTGAGATCCTTACCATCACAAAGGCAGCTCTCTCGAAGAAGTGGAGAGACCTGAAAGCCGGTGGTATTGAGCCAGCGAACTATCCGAGACGTCCGGATATTTTGTGGTCAAACAAGTCCCATATCACAAAGCTGCAGGAGCTCGAGTATGCAAGGGAAATATCCTTTGCAACCAGTGAGAAATCTGCGCAGTCACCACAACTGAAAAGTTTCCGCAAGTTTAACAATAAGAACAGACTCAAGTGCTGATGATAGAGTTCTTAGGTGTCATAGATTCTAGAAGTAATCGTACTTTTTTCCTTGCACTTGTTGTATATGTACTGATGTGTCAGCGATGTGTAGGTTCCATTTACAACACCTGAGTGACTCTATCGAAGTCCTCTACCTAGGCTATTGCGCCGGGTATCGTTTACATCGACCTTGGTAAGGTCGCCGTTGAGCTCGGCGCTGCAATTCCTTTTTGTATATTTTTGTGCCTAGGTAAGTGCATATTCAGCAGTATCAATGCTTCTACATGGGCCTGTCTTTTTTGCTTTCTTAACTGCCCCTACCCCAAAGCCCCTGCTGTTGCTTATTGCATCGTGGGTGATGGTATGCTATTCATTTGCTGAGAATATTTTCACATAGCGACACCATGATTGCTGCCTGTTTGACAGACGCAGCTAGTTGGGCAGTTGGACACGAGACCCGACTTTCTGCCCCGGGCGTCAGGCTGCTCTAAGGATTTCACGTGACACCTAGCTGGGAAATAGTCACGTGGGCGGGACGTACCCCGATGACGGAAAATACGTGTAAAAAAACAACAAAAGATTTTCGACGAGCATCAAGAAGACTCAGACTTTGGCATTCAAACTGTCCAATTGAGCCATCTCTCTCTCCTGTTCACTCTCTCCTTTACTTCCCTCTCCTCCTCTCTCCTTCTCAACCCCCCAGCCCACTGTTAGGTGGGCACCGCCACAACGTCTCTCTCGCAGCGCCCCGTTCTGCTCTTTACCTCCCGATCCGCAGCTGGTCCTGCGCTGGTATCGCGTTTACTCCATTCCTTGAGCTGCTCTTCTGCACCTCCACCTGTCGCTTCTTCTCCCCTCTTCACTCTCTCTCTAGACTTCCGCCGTTTCTATTCCAGCAAGAAAAAGAAGTCTAAAATGCCTCCCAAGAAGGCCGCCGTCCAAGAGAAGGTCCTCCTGGGCCGTCCTGGAAACAACCTGAAGAGTGGTATCGTATGTGAGCAGTGACCCCACCAGCTATTAATTTTTTTTTTCCATCTGCCCCTCCCAGCCTCCCTTCTTTCCTTTCCTTTCCTATATAACCTGCCCGTCACCCAACAATTCTGGGAAAATTTCCATCTTTCTTTCATCATCTTTTCAAGATGCGTGTCTCCTAACATCGAGACAGGTCGGTCTCGCCAACGTTGGCAAGTCCACACTCTTCCAAGCCATTACGAAGTCGGGCCTTGGTAACCCCGCCAACTTCCCCTATGCCACCATTGACCCTGAGGAGGCCAAGGTCATCGTTCCCGATGAGCGGTTCGACTGGCTCTGCCAGCACTACAAGCCCAAGTCGCAGGTTCCCGCCAACTTGACCATCTATGATATTGCCGGTCTGACCCGCGGAGCCTCGACTGGTGCTGGTCTTGGTAACGCTTTCTTGTCCCACATCCGTGCTGTCGATGCCATCTTCCAGGTCGTCCGATGCTTCGACGATGCTGAGATTATTCACGTCGAGGGTGATGTTGACCCCGTCCGCGACCTGGTTATCATCAACGAAGAACTGCGGATAAAGGATATCGAGTTCGTTGAGAAGGCGCTCGAGAACCTGAAGAAGCAGACCAGGCGTGGCGGTCAGTCTCTGGAGATGAAGAAGCTGCGCGAAGAGGAAGCCACTGTTGCCAAGATCCTCGAGTTCTTGCAGAGCGGTAAGGATGTGAGACATGGTGACTGGACCCCCAAGGAGGTATGTTTCTCTTTTTCTTTCTTTCTTTCTAAGCACCTTTTTCCACTGTTATGATGAATAAGAGCATTGCTCGACATAACCCAGCTCGTCGAATGCCTCATTTATAAACTCAC